CCATTGGAGGAAACACTCAAAAGCCCTAGCTGCCACCCTGATGACCATGATTTATCCTGTGTTAGATTCAATTATTTTGATGTAACACATTCTGAAGCAAAGATGTTATTTTTCCTTTTTTTATAGTTATATACAAACCATGAATTGCACATACACCAAACATTTCCATTTATTTAAAGAGAAAAATTTGTCCATATATAGAGATATGCACAAGTTATAGGCACCTGACAAAAAAAATAATATTTAAAAAGCAGTTTACCTGGCAAATATTAAATTACATGCAAATAATATTAACACAATAAGTAGTGATTTTATGTAAGTCAGTGTGTTTACCTAACCATTTCAAAGAACTTTTTGCATGATTAAAGGGTTCTTTGCATCATTAAAGGGTTCTTCAGATTGATGGAGAATGTGTTGTATATGGTTCTATATAGAACCTTTTTTAAAAAGGGTTCTTCTATTGTTAGGATGTTACGACGAAGCTTGTACCAGAAGAACCATTTTACAAAAGGTTCTATATAGAATCATCTACAGCACATTCTCAATTGATCTGAAGAACCTTTTAATCATGCAAAAACTCTTTGAGTATTCATAGTTCTTTATATAACCATTTTCTTTCCTAAAGAACCATTGAATAATTAATGAAGAATCTGGGGGCACTGAGGAAACATCTGGAACCAAACTTTGTCCTTTAAACTAGCCTGCAAGATATCAACTACTTTTTGAAAACAAGAAGCTCCTGTTACTTTTTGATGTCTTTATGTTTATTTACATGTATTCCAATTATGTATGGTGTTTACAAGCACAAACACACTTATTACCAAGATAAATGGTTTTAAATAATGTGCTAAGGTGCCTAAGACTTTGGAACAGTACAGTGCATATTTTTCATTCAGTCATTAACCTCTTTGACTCCAAGGAATTGTTGGTGGTTTTGCACTTAGTTACTGAATAATAATCCTTCAGATTATAAAATTAAAGAGGCTGGAAGTATAAAGCTAAAAAACCATGGGCCACATGCAATTAGTTAGTAAGGGATACTCACTTCATTCATGCACACAATAAACATTATTATCTTTACAGTCGTTAGTTTCTTCTGAACACTGAACCCTCAAAAGTGACCAGAGTGAAATGCCTAACAATTACAAGCACAAGTTTGTCCTGTGCTGGATACTGTTTGTGTTGCTTGTATCAGGGAAGATGTAATTGTGTGGCTGGCTAATGGATTGAAGTTAAATGAAAACTAATGTTTTCGAGTTTTTGAAGTACTCCCAAATATTATTGGGTGCATCTCTGTGGGTTACATCTACCAGAGTTTGGGAATCACTTATAGTCACCCACAGTTATCACCAGTGCCCTCAAGAGAAAAAAATTACACTGTTCTTTATGCCACACTCAACTATGAGTAGAAAATAAGGGGAAAGAATGGTGACATCAGTAGGCCCAGCATCACCACGCAAATCGGTCCAAGAATTAACCAGAGCTTTGCAGAAGGAAAAGGCAACAATAGTGGGAGTGTGTGCAGCACAGTTTAATGAAGGAAAGGGCTGGATTGTGGAGGTTTCTAACTGGAGTCAGGAGAGAACTCATCTACGTGGCCATTTCCGCATAGAGCATTAATTGTTTGGCTGCTGTCGAGTAAGCAGTGCTGGAGGACGGGAGGGTGGCCAGGGCCTGCAGCTGCATTACTTCACCATGTTGTTACAGGATTTTCCCATCATTGTTTTCCACCTGTTTTCTTCTGTGCTGAGTTGCATGTCAGCCTTAACAAACCTCTGTGTTCACTGGAGTGTTTGTGTTGTTTTGTTGTTTAATTGTGTCCCTGTTTACAACCTCCGGCTTTCATTAGCCAACAAAAGAATGGTTCTGTGACTGATGACTTACAGTTTGACAGCAGAAATCAGCTGGTGGTGTTATGGAACTATAACAAGACCACCTAGCTTTACTTCATATGTCATGTGTAGAATAAGGAAGGCTTGTGTAATGAATCATACAAGCCAGTATATTTGTAGGTGGAAGGTTTGTGCCAAATATGACTTAAGTCAATGTCATGCATTAATAAAACTGGCACAGGTTCTCTCTGTAGAAGGATCCATTTGATTATTGTATTTTCATGGTGTTACTTGCTATGCTATGCTATTTACTCTGAACAGCTTATACTTCACCACCATAATGTTAAGCTTTGGTTGTAACATAGCATGTAAACTCAATATATAAGGCTAATAATTATGTTGCTTCGCTTCCAAACATAAAATAAAAACTTTTCATACTTATTATCCTGAACAGTTGCATTTCTCTTAATGACCTCTCATCAGGTAGCACTCACCTCTGGTTAGATAAAAACGCAGTGTTTAGCTGCTGTCTCCATTATCTCACACACAACAACAAAACTATTTTTTATTTATTATTAATACCAAAAGGTTACATGTCATTTTAATGCTGAGAAATGACCGAATACACTGATCCACATGGTATTAGTGATGTTTGAAGAAAGTAGTTTTCTGTCTGTTAACTTACATGAGCAGCAAAAAGTCCAGTTCTCTCGATGTACTACTACAATGTTTTGCGCAATAGAGGCACTGAATCCATTAAACCTACTTGCTAAAGAGACGATAAGGCTATGACCGCTTGGAATGTGAAGGAGGACTGCCGCTTTTGATACAGTGGTTTCCCCCTTCCTTAAACATAATGAATCATCCAGTGGGATTTGTGGGTAAGAAAAAAACTCCCAGGTCTTTTGAATCCCTCACTAATTATAAAAGGGCCTTAAAGGTATAAACTTTCTGACCTTTTTTTTTTTTTTACTGTAAGATGTCAACATTTTTCATAGCGTTTCTATAGTAATCCAAAGACACGCTCTTTATTGTGAACTCTAAGATTGGCCCAATCTGATTAATGAAAGCACGCCCAGATATGTTTGTTACAAACTAGAAAGCTCTCCTACATATGGGCATGGGAAAGAATGGGCCAAAATAAGTCCAGTTCGTTATTCTGGAACAGACAGTTTCCAGCACTGAGAGGAGATGCAACAAGCAGGAATGAATAAGAAAAAATTATTAAAAAGGTAGCTCTTGCCATCCTGAATCACATGCCTGATGGAAGTTGATTCAACTGTGAGTAAAGGGAATGTGTCCTCTATAATTTTCCCCCACCTTTTTTGAATTAAGTGCCTGTACAAATCTTTCAGTTGTGTTTTGAGTTATTCTATTAGTTATTAGTTATTCCTATTAACTTGTCCAATATTCACTATTTTCATAAATTTTCCCTTGCCCTTACAGCTTAAGTTTCTGAACCAGACCGTCATGTTGCAGCACAAAATACTTTCAACAGTGGACCTGGACAAATATGAATAAAAATCAGATGTAAATTTTACATAAATATGGAAACAATATCCACAGAAATGTGCCAGTATGTCTAATACAGGAGACTGGAGGTCAAACTAGTTGTTACACTGAATTGCTGAAGGAAAATGGTTAACACTCAACTAGACGATATGTGGCATAACAATGGACAAAAAAGATACTCTAAAAAGAAAAATCAAATTGTATTCATGGGGAACTTCTACAAATTCCACACACTGTCTTTCACATTTCAAACACAACTGAATGACTGTTACTTGGAAATTAGTGAAATTTGAGAGTAACATCAACTCCTGCCCAAGTAACAGTCATTCATTTGTCTTTGAAATGTGAAATCATGGATCATTTGTTCATCATTTGAATAACTTTAATAGAAGTTCTAATTAAAAGGCCCAAAAGCTATTTCCACAAAATCTTCAGTGAAAGTTCTTAAGGATCCTCTTGTAGGATGAAGGTCCCCTTTAAAAGCCGCTCTAAAAAGATTACTTGATACTGACAAACAATATTTATGCAACTTCTGCAGCTTATTTGTTCAGTAGTTTCTTAAAATTCTCAAATGTTGAAACTAGCTTACACAAGAGCCAATATGCCATATGTTTGATATCTCAGCAAACATTTTCTTGAATAACCTAGTTGGGACAGTGCTGCATGGGAGAAGGTGTAGAGACCTCTGAAGAAAGTTTTCTTTATTATTTTTCATTGTTTTTCATTGTCCCAAACAACAATAAACTCTTCATACAGAACAGTGCCTGATTTGCAGAATGGAGAAACGGAAATGGTTCATCCTGGAGGTTAAAAAGGAGTACGTGTCTGATGTGCGTTTTTCTATAAGTAGAGGAAGCTGTGTTTTCCTGGCACCCAAGCAAGGCCTAATTTACAGAAACAAAAGATGAAAAGCTGGACGTTTTGTAGAGGGCTGGTTAGCACAGGCCAGAATCTAAATGAAGAAGGCTTTATGTATTCAAAACCTAAATAAACAAATACCCACCTGACTTAGAAAAAGAACAATTGATTAGGCAGACGTGAGTAGCCTGCCTACCTGTCACACGGTTTCTTTAATGTCAGGTCTCGACCCCAGCGGGGAAATACCTACATACCGTCTTGATACATGGCCTTCCTCTGTACCTTAACACCCCACGTTTTGAATAGAAAGGAAAACACATAACACCATTTGAGGACGCACTTACTCTTCATTCATTCAACAAAGAACTAAGATGAAAGGACACACGGGGAAATGCCATTATCTGGAACGTTTTCAAGCTCTAAACACGCTGAACACAATGTGTTGTTCAGTGTTATACCGCCGCCTAGCGTTGACTTGCGTAACAGCGCTTCAGAACGAGCAAAACATGCTCTATTTCGCCACTTAAACGGTTTAGTGTTAGGCTGTAACTGACCTGACACATATGAACCATCATCAGCTTAGCTAAGAGGCCTAATGCATTGACAGTGGTTTGAAATTTTCCACATATTCATCATCCATAATCTCGTCATACTATTGATAACGTCTGTAACGTGAGCGTCTCTTTGCCAGGACTGGCTAACAGTATCTTGCCTCCTGCGGTAGGATTGGCTAGTACGAACGACGGACGGCTTGTGAGTATGAGCTACTAGCCAATCCTAGCTCAGGAGGCGGGACTTGTTGAAATTCGGGTGGGCAAAAAAGGCGACCTCGACAAGGATGACGACCAACACCAGGTACAAGAACAGGACTGTAAAAGCAGGTAAACGACAAACGTATGGCAAAGAGCCGATCTTGTGCATGCAACAGAGAATTTCAGGAAGTCATTCTGTAGCTATATCATATTTCAAAGCCTAACGAATACTCGTTCTCCTTTTTCGTACATGAAATGCTGGGCGTCTCCGTCGTCCACCTGCCTTGGGCATCATTTTTGAATACCTAATATTACCCAATGCTTCTCAGAGGACGGGGAGGTAAGCTTTCATAACGATATGTTTACAATCAGTTTACCAAATATGACCGTATTTTAGCGAGCTGGTTGATCAAACAATGCTGATTCGCGCGGCATCTTTGGGCGATATTGAGAAGCGATACTCTGTTTTTGCCCCAATTTTCCATTCGGTTTAGGTTGAATAGGGTTACAAAGGTCTGTGTAGGTCACAGCGTTATCTCAGAATTGAAGTGTTACACGCTATAATTAGGTTATTAGTCATTAAAGTCATTAAGTTCAACAAACCACATCTATTTTGTGCTTCTGCCCAGGTGATTTTAAGGACGATTTACCTGTAAGGCGCTCTGCACAGCTGGGCTCTCCTCAGAGCACACAAGCTCGATGACTTGTTTTTAGCCACAGCGAAGGAATAGTAGAAATAAAGCAGGAACAATGCACACTTAACTAATTCATTAGTGTACTGTATTTATGGAGCTTCTATGGGTTGATGAAATATGGAATTTCTGCATAACATGTTGCCACATATTGCTAAAATCTGTATTCAGCTATAGAGAGAACATGGTTATAATGTTTATGATTTGCACAGTACTTGTGTTTGAACAGGTAATATAGCACAAAAATGGAATGTATGTAACATGGAAGTGGATACTGGGGTGTAATGGCATGTATACAGTGTCCACTGGCTTGGAAATCAGCATGTGCGCTTGAGGGCATCCTATTATATATAATCTGTATGTATTCTGATGGAAGCAGTCTTATGGCACAAAGATGATGCCATTCCCTACTCTCCCCTCATGCTCATATTTTCCATGTGAATAAAAATGCTTGTGCTGTTTCCACTAGCAGGCTGGAGGTAGTCTGGCATGGAACCATAATTCAATACTCATGCCATGCAGTGAGGACAAGGGCATTAGTTTCATTTTGACACACTTTAGTCCTGTAAGATGAGGTCCATGTCTCATGTACACTAAAATACTGTGCTTTGTATGTACTTTATTCAAATGTGTACATCAGTTCCACATGCATGGAATATATTACATTAACAGAAGTATTGCCAAAAGCAATACTACTGGAAGGCAAATTGTAATATATTTGTTGTAATATATTTTATTTATGTGGAAATGATGTACACATGTAAATCAAGTAAATCCAGTTCACTATTTTTTCTGTGTATGTGGACAGAGTCACTCGGAATGCATTTTTCATTTAACCAAGACAGAAAATTGACAAAAATGTCTTGTATTGACTCCATGTGTGATACATAATGCAAATTTGACTCATTACTGACGTTTTCTGTCTACATTACTTTTCATGAGAATACTTTAATTGTTGTCACTTTTCCTGCTCTCTTCCCCCTTATCTCTATTTTCTGATCAATGCTCTCAGATACTCTATTTTCATGTAATCATAAGTAACTATAACTTCATCACGTGCCCTTATGTATAATTTCTGCACAAAATGACACCATAGTTATGCTGAATGTAATGTTGTGCATTTATGATGCAACGCAGCCCTGAAGATACAGTATGGCCGAAGCACTGTTTTGTATAACAGATTGAATTATATAATAGGATAGATGTGGACAGTGCACTCTTTAGTGTGTCCTCTCTAATGTTCTCCAGCTAGAGCTGCTGTAGTGTTTCAGCCAACCACCAGAAAACCTCTAGGCTCCCCAAAAGACTGTCTCAGTCATCTTTCATTTCCATCAAACACTGTGGGAGTTCTGGGAATGCCCTACTAATGGTGCTGGGGGATCAAGGGGGTGTGGCGGGGGGATGGGATAATGCTAGCACGTAAATTGAGTGGTTGAGGGTGGGGCATTGGGGCTGCTTCACACTGCACACGATGCAAGAATTTTAATAAGGATACCAAGACTAACAAAGAATAATACTCAAATAGTTACTACTTAATTAAGATCTCCGATTTGCACATTCATTTTTTATAAAACTCTTTGAAAATTGCCTCATTCAGTGAAAGTTTAACAGTGACACAGGGACATACAGGATAGCTTAAAGTCAACTTGAAATCAAAATTGTTACATTTTGCTCTCTCTGTAATGAGGCATGCTGTTGGCAGCTTTCTATAAGTACTGACAATATCCACAAAATAAACATAATAAGAAATCACAAAAACAAAAAATATTGAAATTGACAATGACAATATTTTATCGCTATCATGATCATTTTTGTTATTGTGATTTCTGAGTATTTTATGGATATTATCAGTGCTTAAAGAAAGCTGTCCAACAGCATACTTCATTACAGAGAGAGCATAATTGTCTTAAAATTGATAGTATGTGAAATGTTGAATAATAATCTTTGTATTCATGGTTTTTCATAGCAGTTTTCAAATGTGACACTAATGTATTTTGTCTGTGTCAAAATATTGTAATACAAGTGATCTGTTATGATCATAATAACCTATATTAGTCCATCACATCTTACCATTTAAAAGACAAAATTTGTCTCTTTTTGTAATTTTCCATCAGTGACTTTTTCCTTCCTCTAAAACATGAGTGTTGATTGCATCACTGTGCACCAGCAGGAGGGTAAAATAATATTAACCAAGACATTGTTTTTTTTTTGTTGTTTTTTTTTTAAGGAGAAAGAATATGTGGGCTTTGCCACCCTCCCAAACCAGGTTCACAGGAAGTCTGTGAAGAAAGGATTTGACTTCACTTTGATGGTGGCCGGTGAGAGTTGCTGTCTGTTTTCTGACACAGACGTCCAACGTGAGATGTTTTTTATTGAGACTGTTGTTGTGTGTTTCAGGAGAGTCTGGTTTGGGAAAGTCTACATTGGTGAATAGCTTGTTCCTCACAGAGCTGCACAAGGATAGGAAGCTGCTGAATGCTGAAGGTCTGTTGTGAATTCAGGTTAAAGGAATAGACCAGCATTTCTTAACCTCTTCTTTGCTAGTCTGCTGCATTAGTATTACACAGTTGATTACGACAGACAAATTTTTGATGCATTTTCCTGTACTGATAAGAAAAGACAGCCTAATAGCTCAGAACTCACTTATAATAGATGCTAGTTTTTGAAATTTGTTAATCAAATTAATAGATATTTTTCATATTAAATGCCTCATGAACTCAGGGCAGCTAACCGTGTTGTGGGCATCTTTTTACTGTTTGTAAGCTTATCAAAAGTTATTGAAGCTTTACAGCATGTTTCTTATAGTCACTGAATATGCGAGAAGGGTCTGGCTGCAGACATGCACTCTCAGCCTGACGTGCACCGCCAGCCTATTGATGACGTCAGTGCATGCTCTGCCACAAGAGTGTTATTGGAATAACAGCGAACCACGTACTGCTGGGTACGTGTTCAGAGTTACACTGAACATATAGTCACATTGTCATACTGATAATAAAGTTAATAAATGTGAAAACTTTCAAAATAAAACCTACCATGATGATAAGACATGAATGATGGTTAGAGACCATTAGGAAACGATCAAATCTATATGGAATCAGTCCCAAAACAACTGATTAAATGATTAGAATCCTTTACACTAATATCAACCCATCAGGAAAACACAGAATACCATTAGCGACTATTGAAAACCACCAGGAACCAACAGATACTTTTAATGGGTTCTTTGATTTTTTTCAATAGAGAGGTACATTAAATGGAATTCTCTAGCTGTGTTATGGACAGCAAATAGATTAAGTGATGATATCACTAAGCAGAGGCAGCCAAGTTACTGTGCCGTTTGGCTGCTTCTGCCATTGTGGCAGAGAGTGCATGTACATGTGACATCACTGGGGCTGAGAGTGCATCTGTCTGAGAGTGCATGTCTGCAGCCAGACTGTATTGGAATATGCATCTATAGGCCTGTCAGTACATTCAGTGATTTATCTGCAACCACTTTCTTCATTTATTACAACAATAGCAATTTGCTGCTTGATCTGAGAGCTCAGTAGCTTTAAAAGAAAATTTTGGCAAAAAGTCAGGTTTGTGCAATTTTCTACTTACCCCTAATATAGTCGATTTGGTTTACAAATTTTGCTTCTTTTGTTTCGCACTGGAGCTATGAGGATAAAGTTACTTACAAACTCTAGAAGTCAATATTCACTAAAACCATAAAAATACATACCCAAATTTTCTCTTAAACTGCTCAAACCACATCCAGGTCTTCATTAAGATCATGCACACTTGTCGATGTAGTTCACAACACAGTATTTAATATAAAACTGAATAAAACAGTGTAGCTGAACACAGCTGGCAGCCATTATAGATAAGGTGTTGTGCCTGCCATAGAATCTTCCTCCCCTTCGATTGTACGCCTAGAAATTATCGCTGAATTTGGTGAAAAACAGTAGGTAATTTGGCCTGTAATTTTTTGAAGGAGAGAAACAAACACCAGCATAGCCCTGTTTCAAACAGAAATGAAGTTACTGAGTAGCACCTGTAAAACAAAAACTAAGACAAACAAAAAAAAACCTAAAAAGAGCTTTTTTTCTAACATTTTGTTCATTTTATAGTGCACAGTAAGTAAGTGCACAGTGTCTGTTGTCTTCTAGGATTTGTTAACAATGATAGCTTTGTAGATCCAAAACTAAACTAAAGAAGCAAGGTGTGGACACCAGGCAAGTCTTATCTGATCGACTAACCATTCCTTTAACGCTAATGTGCTATTGTGAGGATATGAATTAAAAAAATAAAAAATTACAGACTTGATTCTCTGTTATCTTTATAATGATTAGAGCGGATCAACCAGACAGTTGAAATCACCAAGCACACAGTTGATATTGAGGAGAAAGGGGTGAAGCTGAAGCTGACCATTGTGGACACTCCAGGTTTTGGTGATGCTGTCAACAACACAGAATGGTATGTATCTGCAAAAACCTGTTCAAAAGTAGAAATAGTATAAACATCACAGGGACACTTCAGCACTTTTTAACATAATATTACAGGATTGTTTATGCTGCTGGTTTCAAATGGAAAAATCCAATTAGTAAAACTTTATGAGTTTGGGTGGTTGTGACTGGTGGTTTTGCTGCACATAACCATTTGGACTGCTGCCACATCAATGCCACATCAATAAATCTGGCATAGCAACGCAAACAGCTCTAACACACTAAATGCAAATTAGGCGAATGTGCTGGATACTGTGTAAATGTGTAAAGCTCCCGATGTTCTCTTTGCAAATGATACATTTTCTTGAGAATTTACGTCTTGCTATGGAAACATGTTTCTGCCACTTGAGAAAAGCCATAGTAATGAGAACAGTTCTTATAAATATGTGCTTCCATGTCTTAATTGTTGCTTAATATCTCATAATTATGGTTCTTATGGTTCTTAATTACAACCCCATTTCCAAAAAAGTTGGGACACTGTGAAAAAAGGTAAATAAAAACAAAATGAAATGATGTGCAAATAATTGAAACCCTTTTGTTTAATTGAATATGCTTCAAAGACAACATATCAAATGTTGAATTTGAAAAATGTTATTGTTTTTTGAAAAATATATGCCCTTTTTGAATTTGATGCCAGCAACATGTTCCAAAAAAGTTGGGACAGGGGCAACAAAAGGCTGGTAAAGTTGAATAATGCTTAAAAAACACCTGGTGGTTAATTGGCAACACGTCAATAGCATGATTGGGTATAAAAAAGCATCCCAGAGAGGATGAGTCTTTCAGAAGTAAAGATGAGGAGGGGTTCACCACTCTGTGAAAGACTGCACAATCAAATAGTGCAACAATTCAAGTATAAAGTTTCTCAACATAAAATAGCAAAGAACTTTTGCTTTTCATCATCTACGGTACATAATAACATTAAAAGATTCAGAGACTCTGGAGAAATCTCTGTATGCAAGAGACAAGGCCAGTATTTGCTGGCCATGATCTTTGGGCCTACAGACGGCACTGCATTAAACCGGACATGTTTTGTGTAGTAGAAATCACTGCGTGGGCACTGCATGGCAAAAACTTCTGAAAAACACTACCTATGAAAACGGTTCGGCGCTGCATCCACAAATGCGAATTAAAACTCTTAAACGCAAAAAAGAAATCATATATGAACAGGAGCCAGAAATGCTGCCACCTTCTCTGGAACTGAGCTCATTCACATGTAATGAGGTGAAGTGGAAAAGTGTCCTATGGTCCGACAAATCAAAATTTGAAATTCTTTTTGGAAATCATGGGCACTGTCCTACAGGCTTAAGACCACTCAGCTTGTTATCAGTGCACAGTTCAAAAGCCAGTATTCATGATGGTTTAGGGGTGCTTTAGTGCACATGGCATGGGTGACCATTAATGCTAAACGATATATACATGTTTTGGCAACATATGCTGCCATCCAGATGACATCTTGTTTCAGCAAGACGATGTCAAACCACATTCTGCATGTATTGAAACAGCATTGCTCTGTATTAAAAGAGTCCTGGTGCTAAACTGGCCTGCTTGGAGTCCAGACCTGTTCCTTTTTTTGGAAATGGGGTTGTACATTTATGCATTTTTGCAGGCTCTTTTATCCTAGTATTTATTATGGAGTACTAACCAGTGTAATTTTGTGACAGAAACTGACTTTCATAGCCTGCAGATCTAGAAGAAGTCCACGGTGAGTGATATATGTGTCCAATTCCTTAGCTGGAAACCCATCACAGACTACATTGGCCAGCAGTTTGAGCAGTACTTCCGGGATGAAAGTGGCCTAAACAGGAAGAACATCCAGGATAACCGTGTCCACTGTTGCCTATACTTTATCCCCCCTTTTGGACATGGGTAAGCACCTGACATGTTTACTTAAAATGTTTCATATAAGTCTTGTGGGAAGTCAAGCTATTAAGGTCCTGTCAGACCTAAGTTTATGTTAAACAATCGAACAGATCAGTTGGAATAAGTACATTGCACTCTGTGACAAACATTTCAGACTTTAGGATTATGTAATCTATTTAATTCCAAGAGACTAATTGAGATATTAATAAGTAAATGATCATTTATAGAGTACTTTTTGTTGGTAGGTGGCTTTCCCAAACCCTAACTCCTAACTTTCAACAAATTTCAACAAAATGGAATGTTCAGTCATTTATTTTAATAAAATAAAGATAATTAAGGCATACGGTCACTCAGAGCAAAATGATTTTAGTCTAAAGTCAGTTAAAAGTCCAAAATCTGACTCAGCTCTGACTTTGAACTCTTATGAGTTTAAACTTTGAGACCTTAAAGTGAATAAAGCACATTAGATTGAGGATATTCAATTTACTCTTTCTGCTTACTCATCTATCCTGCCTCCCAGGCTGCGGCCAGTGGATGTGGAGTTCATGAAGGCACTTCAGGACAAGGTCAATGTGGTTCCCCTCCTCTCCAAGGCTGACTGCCTGACTCCAACAGAAATGCGGAAGATGAAGGACAAAGTATGGGGGGGGGGTCCTCTTACATCAGATCACACACGGTCACTTTTCGTCCTTACATAATAATGTAGTTAACGTCACGGTCACTGATGTGATTTGCATGCATGGTTTATCCTTGTGCTCAAGGTGAGAGAAGAGATTGAGAAGTTTGGAATCAAAGTGTATCAGTTCCCTGACTGTGACTCAGATGAGGACGAGGAGTTCAAGCAGCAGGACCGAGAGCTGAAGGTCAGTGTGGCATGCTCATTTGTTGTTGTAATGCGCTTGCACTTGCACAATTGGATCAAAACTGATGAAGGTACCCAAGACACAAGTTTGGCAACAATTTGAACCATTTGAAAATGCCAACTGCCTTTTATATTGTGGGAGCATGTCATGATAAATGGACCAATAGAAATGGTTCAGAATGAATAGTTTTGAAGTGTAGAACATGTAATGTTATGGAAGAGATTTTGTTAAAACTGAGGATTGGGACAAATCTTCTTCAGTTTATTACATCAGAAATATTTACCTGAGCTCTGTAAACTGCTTAAAAAGGGAACCTAAAATGGCCTCAATTTTCTGGTTGAAATGATTTACCAATGCTGTATTCACAGATGTAAACAAGTCAAGTGAGTCAAGCCTTGAGTCTCTTGGCTGCAGAACAGTAGAGTAGAGAATTTTAGATGCATTGTTAGCTGCAGGCACTGCACTGTATAAAAGTAACCCCATGAAAAAAATGTCAGGTTTGATATGGCTTCAAATAATTAGCCTTTTATTATGGGGAAATTTCCGTCTAAAAGCTGGAACTGCTACATACAAACTGTCATTCTGTAGTTTGTGTAGCAAGATTTCTAGCTAGCTAGGATACTAGCTAATCCAGCTGAAATTTCAGTACGTTTTAAAGGAATGTAATATGTAACTTATCAAAAGTTCAGTTGATTAGCAGACACCTTCAACCACATTAGCTATTGTGTTAGCTAGCATGCTTGTTGTACTGACTACATGCTAGGCAGCAATTTTACATTTGCCTCTTTGCATTTACTGTAGGCCAGACTAAAAGCTTTTCTTTGATAAAACTTATTATTTAAAAGTGTATTGAACTTGAGTCCCTATCTCTGGCTGTAGCATAATGTTATTAATTAGTGGTTAGTAAAATTAAGTATTATTATCTCTGTGCTGTGTGTGTCAGGAGAGCACTCCGTTTGCTGTGATTGGGAGTAATACTGTGGTGGAGGCTCGAGGCCAGCGGGTCAGAGGGAGACTCTACCCATGGGGCATTGTTGAAGGTCAGTCCAGCAGTATTAAGCAACAGTGACATGATTAGAGATTATCAGAGTACAGTATAAACTGTATGTACAGTATGAAGTGTAAAGCCCCATTTGTGCTGAATTAGTTTTACCGTGTTTATTTGATTAATTTTGATATACATTTTATGCATAATCTGAAAAGTAACAGTACCTCCTGTAACTGACTGAACCCACAGCTTTTCTGTAGCAGTAGTCCTGTTCAGTTCAAGGTAATGTAACAACAAGAATTGCTAATAGTGGCTGTGCACTGTGTTATTGTTATCGAGTGCAGGACCTGACACATACCAGTACTGTTTCAATCTAGGCTGTCTGTGGTAATTTGTAGAAAATTACACAGGTAGTTAATTCTGAATCCTGAGTTAAATCCCTTAAAATTATGCTACAGAATTTTTTCAGTAAAACTAATCCGGCTCTAATAGTGCTTAAGTGAACAATGGTGTATGTCAGCAATAAGATGCACATCGAAGTGCAAGACAAGCCAAACAAAAAGACATGAGAAGCACCAAATATGTTATAAATAATTCAGAAATTATAAATGACTTCTAAAAGCATTTCTAACTTCATTCTGCATGTGTGTATGTGTGTGCATTGGTACAGTGGAGAATCAGTCACACTGTGACTTTGTCAAGCTGAGGAACATGCTGATCCGCACACACATGCATGACCTGAAGGACATTACATGTGACGTTCACTATGAAAACTACAGAGCTCAGTGCATTCAGCAAATGACCAGGTACATGCTCATTCTTCTGCTGAGTGTTTCTTAAGCTAAACTGTGTAATCTGCATAACAGCATTTTGTAATACCGGTTGTGCTTCATACGCCTTCCCTGAGCGGATGAATCTGATGATTGCGAGCATGTTGGTGATTGCGAGGATGTTGGTCAATTATCTACTATTGTTGTCATGTCTTCATATGTCAGTATAATGTTAATTTTGCCTTTGAGACCTAAACATTTAACTAGACTATGTATTTATGCCTGTTCGTGTGATGTTTATACATAAAGAGGTGTGACATGGTCCAAAAAGCTCCCACGACCTAACACCTCTTATTTTACCCGACACTCTTATCCTGCCTCTGTAACATGATTAAATTGTAAGTCATAGGAAGTGTCTGCCAAATGCATAAATGTAAATGTTGTTACAGACATGTATTGCTTTTGAAATGCAGTGAGAAGACTGTCTACTAAGGCTGAAGGTGTTTGCGGTGAATTAATATTAGTTGTTTTCTTCTTTAGCAAACTGACACAGGACAATCGTGTGGAGAGCCCTATTCCTATTCTGCAGCTGTCCACTCCTGATGTGGAGACAGAGAAGCTGATCAAAATGAAGGATGAGGAGGTGAGGAAAATGTCATTGTTTGTAGCAACACTAGTTCACACTAAAAGCATTTCTAAAGTGCTTTCTAGCCGTCTGTCTGATGGAACAAATTAATCAACGTTTCAGTCCGCATGTACTCCACCAAACATGCATCTTATGTCAATCATCTTATGGCGGAACTTCCGTCTATGTTTTTTTTGTTTTTTTTCCACTTGAATGTAAGCATTGTGAAGTATATTTACAATCATAATCTAGTATGATTAGTAAGTTTGAAGCCTGGTGTAATTTTTTTATCAGAAAAGAAGAAAAAAGCTAATCACAAACAAGTGCTTATGCAATGTAACAAAGGCAAATAAAGGTATGAAACTGTCACTGGGGCAGCACCCCTCTTGTCACTGGGGTGGTACCCTCAAGGGAACATAATTGTACCATAATACATTGAAAATATATTTTTTAAGTTGTATTGACTCCACACACCCCGTCTCGCCTCCAGGCTTTTTATTTTATTGTTCTGTTAAAAATATTAGGCTATGGAAAGGTACAAAAATGTACTTTTCACCGGGAAAAAACTTATTTAAGGTACGTAATTGCACCTTAAAACCACTGTTGTACCTTTGAGGGTGATTTAACATTGTTTCTACCTTGATGAACGAAAAGTGTACCTGCACAGAACCTTTATTTCTAATAGTGTAGGGCTTTCATTAAGTCGAGTGTGAATTCCACATAAGAAAGTTGGTGTTTTGTTGACCAAGAGAATGTGTGAATGTGTGAAAAACTGTCTGCTCTATTTCTCTCTCTCTCTCTCTTCCTTCATTTTTATCTGTTTCTGTGTCTTTATGCACAGCTGAGGAGGATGCAGGAGATGCTTCAGAAAATGCAGCAGCAGATGCATGAGCAAGACCTGTAAAGTGCAACAGTGCAGTACCCTGAAGCAAGTAGCTTGATGTTTGTGGAAAACAAGTAGCAGTGTGAAGAAATGGTGAATTTGCCCTTGTCTACTTTTTCCACACAGACTCCTGATCAAAATGCCAGAGTCTGAGAAAGCATTTACGAATTTAGAACTTTATATACACAATTGTACGCATGGCTGATGCACTGAAAGTTTAGGTAACATTTCTGAGGTTATACATGGGTCTAAAACCACCAATAAGTTTTCACACTTGATATGATATGGTATGTAAAGACAGTTAAGTTGTGAGTGTAACGGTTTTATACACCGTCAGTGAATGTTAGTAGTTTCATCTCCTCTTTAACTTCTTCCACGTTATATCACAGTGGTTTTGGTTTTGGTGAAAGTTACATATGTATTCTTTATTTAGGAATATTTGTATGTTATTGAGTGAGTGAGTGAGTGAGTAGCAGTGCAAGACAGGGTATTTGTGTGTATTTTGTTCTCTAAACTATTTATTATAATTCTTAGTAATAGCTTTGTAGCAGGATTTTTGTGTTCCCAGACAGTTTTGAAGTATTAAGACATTTTAATTCCTTAACTACCAGTTTCATCACACATTATTACTTATTTACATGTAAGAGTACACTTTAATATTTTACATGTATGTGTTCTGTTTTACTGCAGATCCTGATCCTGCCAAACTGAATGACTTAGAAGTTACCTGAGAATTCACATCGATGAATGTGAAATCTCAGGTAACTTCCATTTTTTTTGTCTTTCTCTTTTATAAGACATTTTTGTCACTCTTTGGGTATTTTCCTCTGATGATAAAGCAGAATAATAGTCTGGTTAAAAGTCTGGTTTAATGTAACAACTTCTACCATTTTGCACAAGAATTTATATAATCACAAATAAACAAAAATAACTACTTTTATATTGTTAACTGCAATAGTGATATTGGACATGTTTCATCATTACAGGGGCACTGATGTGTGGTGCAAGTGTGTTTGGCATAGGTTTAGGTAAACACCCCTTAAGTCCTATCTGATTTTAAAAGCTACCCGTGTTCAGTATTTTAGGTATTTTTATCTGCATGCCAAAGAACAACTGTCATGGTTTGCTGGTTTTTATGAGAAATAAAGGCCTTGTTTCTCTGCAGTAGTAGTCTTTTATTGTCTGCGAATTCTACTGATTTTTTACATTTTCTGTAAAATTAGGGTGTGATAGTCATTCAGAGAGTTTTCATGTGAAACAGATCACTGTAGAGAAACTTACTGACTTACTACATTTACATGGCTTCATACTGTTTTAAATAATGCTGGATTTTTTTTTTATTTGGTGAAATACACATTTAATTGCACAGTGTGCAGTTTTCTTTTTACCCTTTGAACCCTTAAGAGCCCATAGGTGGACCCATGCTTATATCCTTGCTTTTGGACACAGCTTACATACTACTTTAATAGTCACTGAATACAAAGACTTAAGATTAGCAGCTAAATAATAAAGAAATACATTAAAATAGTGAAAGCACATGAAAGAAAATCACATATAGCACATTTTCAACTAAATCTTTTGAGCTTGTCCAGTGTTAAATGAATACATACAGTGTTGAATTAAGTTTGTACAAGTTCAACTAGACACAAACGACTGGAATAGAGAATGTGATTTTTTTATTTGATGGAATGTTAGGTCCCAGAATTGCTAACAGCACTTCTGTCTGAACAGTTGTTTAGATTCTAGACAACCTAAGGAGGGTAGCAACTACTTACATTTAGCCAGTTTCTGTTTGCTTTAGTAAAATTTGTTGGGTTTGTACTTTTTGGGTATTTTTAAGGAAATGGTAAAGTTTGTTTGCACTGAAGTATGTTTTTGAGGAAAGGTGTTTTTCCTCAGTTCCACTTTAGTCCTTCACATTTAATTTCCAGGTCCTTACCACCTCTCACTTTAGAGCTTAGCACTTTTTTAGATCACAATGATCCCAAAATAAGAAGAATAGATATTAACAAACAGAAGTTCTTAAGCTGATAGAATATTGATGTACTAAGAAGGTTTGCTGAAGTTATAAAGGGATCTCAGCACTTGTATTTTGACTTTTTTTTTTTTAAACATATTTAAATTGATCCTTCATGCAAAATATTGTAACTTACATCCCTGCTGAAAAACAGTCCATTAGAACCATTAGTGATTAGGATGAGTGATTTCTAATTGGTATTGGCTTAATGGTTACAATTAAAGACCACTAGTTTCCTGCAGAACACCTTTATGTCCCATTAGGAAACCATTAATTGCATCTGGAATCAGTCCCAGGACACCTGTTAAACCATTACAGTCCTTTTCACTGTGATATCATCCCATTGGCAAAATACAAAATACCATTACTGACTACTGAGCACCACCAGGAACCAACAGAAACTAATGGTTTCCATGATTTTTTCAGCAGAGATGGTAAATACTGTTAAAACAACCTAGAACTTCCTGTGGAAACTGAGAAAACGAGCGTGAAAACGAAAATCTCTGTAAATCTGGGGAATTTGGAAGAAACACACTTGTTTAATATTGGAAAACGTGTGCTGTTACGGCCCCTTTTTTCTTTGAGGAACAAGGCTGTGAGGAAAACGCTGGCCGCTGATGCGGGGCGTTTCACTCATGTGCTTCACCATCTCCTCCTCCCTCAGCTCCTCACTACTAACGTAGCATGGAGGAGAAACCGGACCACCACGCTGGGTCCCCGTCCCTCAACCAGACCTTGTGGAGACCACTCCAAATCAAGACAAAGCTGTCTCTGAGTCCTAAACCAAGCAAGAAAGAGGTGAAGAAAGAGGGACTGATGTGGTCCTTTAAGAGGCGAAAGCAGGCTGATCTGGCGCGTGCCATCTCCTCCTCCCAGCCCGACCTCCGCGCCGGACCTCCTCACAAGGAGCCTGGAGGGGAAAGCGGCACAGCTGGCCAGCTACAGACATGCCCGTTGCCCAAAGGCTCACCTCTGCTCGGCTCCGCGCACCGCGAGAGGATCGAGAGGGTTTCCCGCTCAGCAGATGTGCACGAACAGCTGGCTAAGAGCAGCGAGGTGAGTGGACCGCGCGATAAAAGTTTAAAGGAGGGAGGCAGCAGGCTGGAGTTTATGCGCGTGTTCTCGTAAGGACGTATTAAAAAACAGTTGAGGGAAAATCAGTATCCGGCAGTGTTAAACGCCACACAGGGAAATCTGGCAGTAAAACTTCTCGTACCGTGAAGTTTGGAGTTAAAAAGCCTATCAACGTGAGTTGATAGTCTGCAGGACTCAAATGTTATGAGGTTCACGGCATAGGTGTACAGTTATAGACTCCAGGGAATCTCTACCCCATTCGTCATTGCACAGTTTGTGATCACAGAAACTGACTAATAATGAACAAAAAGGAGCGGTTCAAAGTGAGAGTACATTGCGCACTCTTGTGCCTCCGTAGAACGCATCTGCTGTTTATTCAATAATAACTTATACACGGTAGAGGAAGTTATTATTTTATATTTTCTGGGAACACCAACAAGTAATTGAATAATATACTCTATTAGTTTGTTAAGTTATCTGCATTGATATTTGATTAACACTACTTCACCAAATGCAAGTCATTCTGCATGTTCCTTTTATTAGAACTTCATTCTAAATGCTTTTTAAATCATAATGAAATACTGCCCCATTCATCATTCTAACTGATTTCTAATTTCTTAATTTTAATTCTTAGTTTCCTGCAAATTTTTGAAAGCTGTCAAGTTGTAGACTGGACAGAAACACTTTTTTTTCAGGTCTGAAGCAAGAGTGAAGCTTGATTTTCTCCTTTCTCTCAAAGATGAAAGTTTCAAGTACTGTTTATCTGATGGTGACAGTTTTGATAATCTACCATGTCTTGTGTGGTTGTTAGGAGAACTGCAAATGTGGCATGTGCAAAGGTTTTGAGACCCTACTAAGTCACCACTCACTAAAAACTCTTTGGCAGTTATCACAGCTTAAATGCTTTTTGTAGCTAGCTACAGTCATTTTATTCATGTTTTATGGGCCATCTTGCATGCACAGCATGTTTAAGATATGCCCATGGATTTTCAGTGACGTTCAAGTTATGGGACGGTGAGGGTAATTTCCGAAGCTTTAACTTGTGTTTCTTGAAGTCATTCATGGTGGATTTTGAGGTATGTTTTGGATCACTGTCCTTTTGTAGAAGCCAGTCTGGCATTGCCATCCCATACTTTGGCTCCAGTGAGATTACTCCACCTGCATTACACGATTTTTAATGTTATCTGCTCTCACCTGATTGGACTTATGACCTGACTACTGATCCTCATGTACAGTTGTATCCAAAAGTTTGGGTACCCTGGTCAAGTTACATGTTTTCTTAATTTTCTATGTGAAAATAAATGAACACATTCTCTACAGAGAACATACTTCTATACATTTAAATGCATAATTACTGTTCATTTGCTGACTTTAACATATTGGGAAAAATAAAACAATATTTAAGGCACATTTTATGTATATTTTTTTCAAATTTGTTAAAATAAATAGAAAAAAATGCATTAAAAATTGCAGAATGTTTAAGCTTATACTGTGTAGAGGATGTGTTAACTTATTTTCACTTAAAAATCAACAAAACATCTAATTTAACCAAAGGTGTTTAAATTTTTGCATACAACTGTAAGCATGAAGGGATTATCCCATCAGAGGCATTGGCACAATTAAGTAAATATATATCAGCTGGCACACAAAGACAGACTAAGTTTTGAATAGCAGAAATCTATTGCTCGATAGTAACTTACAAGTCTTGCAAAAGCAAAATACACTTGTCATTCTCCATTTGCACATTTCCTGTGCTAATTGCACCAAATTCCTCTGCCACTTCCTCAGGTCAAACAGAGATACTCTTCAACGCGAAGGTCAGTAGGCAATATACAGGGTTGGGATAGCTACTGAAAAATTTGTAGGTGGCTACTTTCCCAAAATTTGTAGCTAGCTACAATTTAGCTACTTTTCAAGAAAGAGTAGTGGCTACTTTTTAGCTACTTTTTGAAAAGTAGTGCATTACTTTTTAGCTACCTTCAAAACATGATTGTCAGAATGTTTGTAAATATCCATCTAACGCACCAAACAAGCTCAACTGATAGTGTGAACAAGACACTGCATTTAATCATGTGCCAGAAAGAAACATACAACTGAAAAGCTGCAAAAATACAAAAAGATCACCAAAAAGTCAGTTTAAGTGTAACCAACAATCAAACTTACACAACCAAAGGTGTGATATCCAACAAAAAATGAGACTAAAGGCAAAATCAATCATTCCAAGTTTTTCCTAACAAAAATCAACAAAAAAATAATCAAATACAAACCAGAGAATTTTGTGCAAAGCATTTTCAACTGTTGAAATAAAACTCCTCCAATTTAAACATTTCAGCAAGATACACCGATCAGGCATAACGTTATGACCACCTCCTTGTTTCTATGCTCATTCTCCATTTTATCAGCTCCACTTACTATATAAGTGCACTTTGTAGTTCTACAATTACAGACTGTAGTCCATCTGTTTCTCTGCATACTGTTTCTCTGTTAGCCCCCTTTTACCCTGTTCTTCAGTGGTCAGGACCCCCATGGACCCTCATAGAGCAGGTACTATTTGGGTGGTGGATCATTCTCAGCACTGCAGTAACACTGATGTGGTGGTGGTGTGTTAGTGTGTGTTGTGCTGGTACAAGTGGATCAGACACAGCAGTGCTGCTGGAGTTTTTAAACACTGTGTCTACTCACTGTCCACTATATTAGACACACCTATGATGTCGGTTCACCCTGTAGATATAAAGTCAGAGATGATAGCTCATCTGCTGCTGCACAGTTTGTGTTGGTCATCCTCTAGTCCTTCATCAGTGGTCACAGGACACTGCCCACAGGACGCTGTTGGCTGGATATTTTTGGTTGGTGGACTATTCTCAGTCCAGCAGTGACACTGAGGTGTTTAAAAATTCCAGCAGCACTGCTGTGTCTGATCCACTCAGACCAGTGCAACACACACTAACACACCACCACCACATCAGTGTTACTGCAGTGCTGAGAATGATCCACCACCCAAATAGTACCTGCTCTATGAGGGTCCATGGGGGTCCTGACCACTGAAGAACAAGGTTTTATTATTAACATTTAA